AAACGAAGAGTCAACCCTTTCGCGCGATATTCTCTTTCAAACGCGTGAAGGACCTAATTCTCGTAAGAAAATAATTAATTTTAAATGTAATTAAAAATTTTAATAAATATCGAGTTATTTCGTTTATAATAAAAACTTCTCTTTTGAGGTTTGAGCTAATAACTAGATAACAATAATTTCTTACACTTTTAGAAAAATTTCACATTTTGCCAAAATATTAATAGCTTACTTAGTTTCTAATTTTAATTGAATAAATTTAACTAATCTTCAAATAAAAAAAAAATCATCATATTCAGTAAGGGAGAATTGATAAATTACTTAAAAGAGTTCCTAAAATTCAAAATCTGACACGCACTTCTTAATCCGCTTGGATTTTGTAAACATTCTAAACCTACTGATTTAGAGAAAAATACCGCCACCAAGGTAGCAAAATTTACTTTGGATGATTCTGAATATAACTCAATTTGGAATAATCATCATGTGAAAAGCAAGATATATATAAAAGCATCTCGATTACAAATGTAATCCTCGACGACTTTCGTTATGCGGAACACTGTTTCTGTTAAGTTACTATAGTAATAATTTTAATGACTTCTAAAGTCAGTTCAAAATCTCAAAACACATTTAAAAAAGCTGATGTGTACACCACACGACTTTCTTGAACGAAATATTAAATTATACGCACTTTTTCTTGCACTTCATTTAAACTTATTTCCTCGAATTTTATTAGAGATATATTTCTCATTCAATTAATTCAGTTCTCACTTCGCGGCGAGGCAAAAATGCATAAAAACTCAAAATAGCTTCATTAAAAATTAAAATACAAAAACATAAAACACCAAATACAGTTAAAACAATTAAAAAAAATATTTACAATTAAAATTACAGTTTCTACACAGAAACAAGCAATTCGGCCAGCGGGCAAGAAGGCAATTTTTTCGGTGCACGAAACTAAAAGTTTCATTTTGGTCCCATTCAGCGAAAAAGCACTGAATGTGCAAAAAGAATTAATTCACTATACTGCCAAGTTTCATGTGTAAGCAAGTATGGCTATTATGGTAGCCGCATGATAGTGATAATGTCATCTTGATCTTCGCCAAAACATCGTGGGTGAAAAAAAAGGCAAGAAGAAAACATAGCAGTTCTGAATCAAAGGGGTATAAAATATCGTGGTAGAAAATAAAGCGGTTCAAAAACTTCACAGTTTAAAAACATAGTCGTCAAAAATATCGAGGTAAAAAATAAAGTATCCACAAAACATGGGTCACATGCGTTTTTGAAATCCCATACTGACTTTTTATGTAACTAAACTTTCGTCATAACTAACAAACCGACATCTAAAAAACTGATTGCACGCTCTATATGAAAATGTTAACGACACTTTAAGAATAAAAAGAAACAAAACAATATATAATTTTCACGGAAACAATATCAGATAAACAAATGTGAAAGAAAATAATTTGATTATTAACTAAGCAATTTTCATAGAGGTAACCTCCTGCAGTTATTTATCTTCCTTTTTCTAAGCATTTTTAGACTGTATTTTTTATCAAAAGTTATTAAAAAAGGTTTCCTTATTAATGACCTTTTGTTAATTAACTAGGTAAATTTTAAATTCTATTAATTTCTATATGTTGCATTAATTTTCTACTCATTTTCAATTTTTAAACGCTTAGGCTTCCTTCTTATTTTTTCAGCAAAAATTTTTTTGTTCATTCAAAAATATTAAATATGGAAGTAAAAAAATGCCTCTTTCCTTTTTGCGCTTCCAAATCATTACCTGAATATGCGTCTACAACTTTTAAAACTTGAAAACGCATGTTGCGATGTTATCGTCATTAGATGATTTGTAGGTACTTTAATTTTTACCACGATATTTTCGACGATGATGTTTTTAAACCGCTTTATTTTCGACCGCGATGTTTTAGAACTGCGATGTTTTCTGTTTGCTTTCTTTTCTCCCACGATGTTTCGTACCACGAAGTTTTCGCCTTGCATTGTTTTTTTCCTCGATGTTTTCGGCAGACATGATGAAATACTTACCAACCCTAAAAAACCTTTTGAGACATATTATAGGTTTACAAAGGATAAATATGCCAATTCTTAGACAATTCCATCAATAAAAAAGAATGATGGTTTTAACAGCACCTCTGCGATGAGAAGAGCTAAATTATGACGCATCACTTTGCAGATATATTATTTGATAGAACCTGATAGTAGTGATCACTCAAAAATAAGAAGGGTAGCATTACAAATTCCAGACTCAAAAGGCGATGTGTTCATTCACAACTCAAGAAATTACATAATATTACACGAAGTTATAGAAAAGATTGAGCAACAGCTACAACATAAATTATAGAGGTTGCAAACAGAAATAAAGAATTTTTAACAGGGTTATTTAATAAACTTCTAGAATTAGGATACTTTCTTCTGTCACTAAAAGTTGTTAGTCGTTTTCCTTAAAAGAAGAAAACAATACTAAACATCCAGCTCATATAGATCGATTTACTTATTATCTTCTTGAAGTGAAACAATAGACAAATTAACTAACGAACAACTTATCTTGCAATAAAAAAGGCTTTCAGAATTTCGTTAGTGTCACTTTACTTACACTAATAGGCGGAACCCTCGAGAAATCTCATTTGGACTGCATACGCATCTGATATCACTGGACGTAAAACTGATTTGGTTTGACTTAGTTGATTATGGCAAAGCACTCAAGGGCTATCTGCCTAAGGGGAGGGATGCATTCGTGAAGGATCTTTCTGAGGGAAGCTGCCAAGTATACACATTATACATGGGTAAACCCAAAAGAACACCGAATTCGATTTCCAATTTTAATTCAATTTAAATTTATTAAATTATTTATTCGAATTTTTATTTTTACTACACAAATTTTTTTCAAAAATTTTCTTACTCTTTAGTTGTTTGCAACATCTACACAAACAGTAGCAGTGCATGTTTTTTACTTTTTACAATGACTCAAAGTTGGTAACATTTTTGCACACTAACAAACATTTTACAGTTTACATTTTTTAAATTTACAACATGGGTTTTTACAATAGCTCTCACAGCTCATTTACACTAACATATTTATAATTATATATATTAATATATAATTATATATATTAATTGTTTACTACCATATTTTATTACTTAACGTTTCTAATTTGTAATATTTTATTTAATTTCCACATATTATTTTTTTCATACCTTTCATAAATTTCAGCATATGCTGAATTTTAACTTATATGTTATATTTCACGAACGTAATTGTCCCCGTACATGCGGTTTATTTGTTACATTACTTAATTTTAGATACAATTTTCGCACTTTTTTAATGCTATAGTGTTCAATATATTCTGAATTTTAACTTCCTTTACTTTTTATTGTATCAACTACAGTTTATTGTAGTATTTAATTTTAAAACATAATTTTTTTGGTCTATCTTTTTTAACCGTTCTATTTCTCTATACACACTTTCATTTTAACTCACTTGTTTTTAATTCTGTTTAAAAAGAAACATTTATTTTTCGAGATCTTAGTTCCTTTACTTAATGTTTTACAGAATTTCTAATTTCTTTCACATGTTTAACAATATCTTCCTTACACTGCCCAATATATTTTTTTTAAATTTAAGTCTATAACTGTTAATTACTTTTCTTACATTCATGATTTCCCTTCTTAGGTTGTATTTCATAATTCTAGTTTAACTTATTTATTTTACTGTTTCTATTTTCTGTCTCATCATTCATAATTCCAACATTTTATTCCATTTTAGTCATCAACACACTTTTTAAAAAATATGGATTGTTTTCATTTATCGTATTTTAAACAAGTATTTTAAAAATTGCAAGGAAATGCAACAAGTATTTTAAAAATTGCAAGGAAATGTTTAACAATCAAACATTTCCTTGCAATTTTTAAAATACTTGTTGCATTCTCCAATCATAATTGATCAGAGTTAGTTTTACTTAGAAATTTCTATTCACAACTTTACAGTTTAATACCATCTATATCTAAATGTATTTCTTTCTCATATAGTTTTAAGATCTTCAAAAGTTTCTAACATCATGTTTAGTTTTAAATCCCGATTACCTTTAAGTGTATTCATAATTTTTCGTTTCTAATTTTACAACCACATTCAGTGTTTCATCCACATATACCAAAATATTTCTTACTTCTTCTGATATTTAGTCTATGTCATATTTCAATGCTTCAAATGAATTACTTCAAACTGACATCAGTGATTTCCCAATTAATTTAACATATCATTATTATGTATAAAAGATCTTTAATAAACGAAGGTCTATTAATTAGCTACTATTATTATTACATCATACTATTATTCATTTAAAACCATCAGTTGGTTAAAAATACATAACACAACTACTCAAAGGAATGAGCTAATGGTATGAGGGTTTTCAGTCATTTTTAGCATGTATAGAGTAAATATCCAGAAACTTCTTTCAGTAAATATGATGATCTCTTATTAAATCAAAACTGAACAATCAAACAAAAGCTCAAGGCCATACAATTTCAATTATAAAGAAATTATGACCTGTAATAATTCAAACTTTTGGTTATTCAAGCAAGCAAGCTAATTCCTACAAATCAAAATTAATGCTAAGTTGCCTAAACAAATTAATGGTTACATTAAAGGAAGTTCATTACACTTGAAGATTCTTCTAATCAGGCAAACGATCTCCATTGCATTGTTTTCTTAATAACTCACATATATAAAATATTGATATTATATGCAAGTATGATATGATTTTCTGACACGATAACTTCGAATTTTAATAAAATCAATACCTTAATCCTTTTTAAGGCATGAAAGTATTATTTGAGTTAGTATTTTACAACATGATAAAAAAATTTAAATACACATTGAACCACTAACTGTTGTATTTAAAATTTTCTGGCCATTTGTTCTTCTTCGTATTTAAAATGAGAGATGACATTTATTGACATTAGGGATAGAAAAATGAACAGTATGCTATTTTGTCACTAATGATATTTATTATTCAATTTGTATGTACAGAAATATGCATTGCATCAATAAAAATCACTTAAGAAGACCCTTAACTTGAGCATGTGTTTTTCCACATTTCAATTTAAAAAGTTCAATGTACAATTTCTTACTGTATTTAAAATAATTATAATATTATTTTACTGTTCAAGCACTGAAACTCTAAAACTATTTTAATTAATCTATAAGTACTAATCCAAAATCACAATGTCCAAATAATGGAATGAATACATATGAAGAATGACATATTTGTCTTTTTAACCACAGTTTAAAACAACATTAACATTTCAAAATGAAGATCACAGCAAATCAAGAAAATTGCAAGGAATGCTATATCAATAACAATGATTTCAGATGAATTTAAAGAAGAAGCAAATATTGGCAATATTTGGCACAAACCTAAAAGAACTAAAAATTGTTTTCCCTATTAGATATTATAAACTATAAAACTAATAGAACTGATATACTGTATAAAAGATACAAATGCCCTATGATAATGAGCATGTGCAGAAAAATATTTTTTATTAAAATAATGTCTAAGAAAAAAGATATCTAGGAGAAAATGCAATACTAGTACTGATTCGTGTACACTCAAAAATGCATAAAATAAGTTTAAAAAGAAATCTTTCACAAAAAAGCATAATACAAAAGCTACTTCAAAATATTTTTCACCAAAAGAAAAAATTCTATTGAGTCATACAAATGTTACAACAGTAAATAAATCTATAATAAAATATCAATAAAACAGTAAAAACATGACTGTATAAAAAATAGTTAAGATTCTCCAACAAAGGAATGAAAACAAATCTCAGGAGATCACTCCAGAAGCACTATCGGAATCAGAATCTCCTGATCGTCCTCGCCAGTTTTCAGAAATTCTAAAAAAAGTAAAAACAGAAAACCATTTTTAGAAAACAGAACGGTTTAATGCAAATAAACTCAAAAGCACAGTATACAAGACTCACAACCAATAATCGTATAATTTTTTAAGGATTAAGTATTATAATTTTTAATACTTTTTTTAATGGTGCATGATGTAATTTATGCTAATTTCAGCGTAAAAGAGAAGCATTTTGCAAGCTACTCTTCAAATACAAAATTACTTTATGTTAAAATTTATAATAATTGTCTTGAATAACACTTGGAACAAGAATGTACATGAGATGGAAAAAAAAAAAAAAAATATTCAGTATTGCTTTGCAGAAGGCTGGCTAATTTTTAATATATAATTACAGTTAAATAACGTACACGCTGCTTTTTAATCATTCTAAAAATATGTAGTAATGCATATATTATTATATTTAAACTAAGTTTTGGCATGGTTATCATAAACTGCACAATTAAAGTTAAGTTTTGTAATTTAATTTAATTAATTATATCAATAACAAGCAACACACCAATGATGTGTGAAAGACTACATTTCTATCGACAAATAAATTTTTTAAATAATTTAAAAATTAAAAATGGAAACAGTCTGCATAACGAAATTATTAATTTCATTAATCTATTCTGGTACGACTTGGTTTGTATGAAGACATTCAAGCTTGTCTAAATACATCAATAAAATCAGAATTCTAGTTAACATTTATTAAAATATTTAGATATACAGGAAGTTAATATTGCATTGTGGAAACTCCACTTTCTTTAAACGAATCATGGTTTAAAATGAAATTATGAAAGGTAATTTTATTGTCGTAGGATAAATTCTTTAACATGACGTTACTTTTTTGGATTCTTTTCTGACTTCTTCTTTCCTTTCTTCCAAAACGCGACTTTTCTTACACATAACCGATACTTAGCAAACAAAATATCCAGTATAATATTCAAAATTTCTTTATTGTGCATCTGAATGTAACATGTATTTTGATGTAAAATTTAATTTCAAACAAAATACGAAGGGGCTTTTTCTTTCCTTCAATTGCCGATAGAGGGCGCGCTGTATAAAAGCATCTGCTCTCAGTTCCCTCAATTGGATGTAAACACTCTTTCTTTATGATTCTTTATACCCACAAATAATTTTCACGTCACAAAATACAACCTCATACGCAATTACAAAGTTTCAAGCAATCGAATTAAACTACCAGTCTGAAATAACCCGGGCATTAGTAAAAATACAGCCATGATTTTATGGAAGAATTCTTTCGGTAACAAATCACACAGAAGCGCTTCGTTAGACGAACAAAATCGAAGAGTTACCTCATTATTATTAAAGCATACTTTTTTTCCCCGCATGTCAGAAACTGGAAGGAGGAAATCTTCATTAAAAATTTCACGATAAGCCGACGCGTTTTTGACGCGCATTAAATACACATTTATTAAGGTTAAGCGCAAAGAAAACAAAATTATTAAAGAGCGCTCTAGTTTCCCCTCGTTTTTCTAAAGAGCCATCGTGCCCCAGAGGACAAAATGAAGGCTGTCAAACAAATTTTCTTTTTAATCAATATCGCGAAGGGGCTTTCGCTCATTAATCACTCAAAGGCCGTAAAAATTTGGACAATCTAGAAAGCTGTGCACAAGACAAGATGATCCAAACTGAACCTAAGTCGTCAAGAGAACTGTAAAAACGTACTTTGAACTATAATAGTTTTATTTTACGATACAAAATCATCAGCAAAAAAGAGTTAATTAGCAATACATAAAGCGCTGATATTATGTTTCAGTTTTAACTTATGCAACCAAGACTTTGTGGATTTTGATGAATCAATAGAGAGGTGAATTCACCATACATAGGTAATTTCTACATCAATACTATTGGACAGTATATCTCCAAGCACAGTTTATTACTTTTCATTTATTATACTTAAAAAACTAACGGCTGCTTTTAATAGCCAAATGATCACTACAAGTTGAAATCGCCATTATTTATATAGATTATTTCTACATTGTTTCTACTGGAGAACATATCTCCTACCTAAAATTTGACATAACTATTTAATATTTACCTACAGTATTTCAAAAATCAAAAACCTTAATTACTTTTAATAGCCAAATGATCATCACATACAAAGCCTTTTACAGACAAAAGTTCACAGAGATATTTTCATTATCTGACATTTGTATGGATGATGCAGTTTTATATATAAATATCATTGTTGATACTTGCTATGTAGGTGTTGTTTTAAACTAGAATAATAATCAAAGAATATATGTAGTAGCAGTCTATTTCCAAGAGCAGTTAACATAAATATAAATGAGGGAATGTGAAAGTTTTGACTGAGATAATGAACCTTGTTACAAAAAGTACATCTTTAAAAAGATATATTTTTGAAAACAAATAACCAAATCAAAGCATCATTTTTAATAATGAAATACAGGAAAAATAGATAAATAACAAAAAGAATATTAAGTCATTTGAACTTTTAATTTGTTATAAATAGTATGATTATGACCATGGCTTAATTTCAGGTAAAGCCTTGCTCCGGTAATTCTCAGTTTTTAACAAAAACTGTAATACCAATTATAGCTACAAAATGAGTTCCAAAATCTTGATTCAATATTTAACTAATCACCTTTAGTTTAAATTAATTAATGCTATTATATTTTCACACTTTGCTTCAAGTTAGTTATTAATTATTTATTATTTTATATATTATTTTTATTTATTTATTCCTCTATTATCATATTTCCTCGTGGCTTTTCGTATGGCTACAGCACTTCTAATTGCAGAAGTTAAGCTTTAATTGTGGCTACTTAATATACAGAAACAATGACTACTAAACAATTTCTAACTGTTGTGATTGAAATGAGGAAAAAGTAATATAAAAATTTGCTGTGGGAGGTAATGCTCAAGTGATATACATAAATAGACACATAATTTATATAGGGTATGCATCAATGAACACTATTAAAAAACAGATCAAAGAGGCAGTGGGGAAAACTGAATTTAGTGTAAAAAAAAAAGTATTTATGATCACTTAGTTTCAAAAACTTATCTCGCTTTAAGACTGGTGTTTGATTTAATTATAAACTCAGCAATTAAGACAAGGTTATAACATAATTTGCTTTGATTACACATACAACAAATACGTTGTCTAAAACCTAAAATATTTGCATGTTTGATAAGAGAAGCGAAGAGTAAATTCAGAAATACTGATCAACAAAAGACAAATTTTGAAGCAATTCAGCATAATGTTAATTTTGCACCTTTATTATCAGTTAATTATAATTGACTCTGCAACCTAATATACTTCCTTATAAAAGTATACTTACCTACTTTTATATGGAAATCTACTAATAAATACTTGAACTTATATTTTTAAATTTTGTGATTTTGCTTACATTTCAGTCCGCTAAACTTTCTTGTCAATTTCTTTTCATTTCCCCTTGTAATTTAATTACAGTGGTGGCAGTTTTTGGAATGATGTTTATGAAACTGTACACTAAATTGTTTCAGTGTTAAATTAGTGCTCATTTTTCATTTACTTCCATTATCAAAAACGTAACAATCTAAGATTCAGAAAATTTATTTATGGTTCAGGTCTCTTGATAAAAAAATTGATAAATTAGTAAAATAAAAAACCTGCTTCCTATATGTCAATCACTTTTTAGAAATTTGATTTTTTCTTAATTGCTAGTAATCCTTATACATTGGCATTGCTCTAACATGTAAGATGGTTGGCTGTATTTAAATTTTGCAGTATATAGACTAAAAACCAAAACTGTAAACACAAAAATTATCTAGTCTATGTAAACCACAGAAATATCATATTTATTGTTTAGATTTACTTATTTATTTGGGGACAAAGTGTTTAAAATAATCATAACCTAAATTTATAATTACATGTTATAAGTAAAAGGTTTAATGATACACAATAAATCATTCAGTATTAGTAATTTTCACCTAATCTTCAAAACTAGAATGATGATAGACCCTAATGAACTAAAAGGGAAGCATGCTTAATGTCAAATTTAACATCAGGTAAAAAAGCAGTCTTAGATTGGAGTATGTACTGAATGAAACTCTACTAACAGTGATTTTCCTTCTTTCATCTTCACATGAATGATGGGGGTGTGAGTATTTTTTATCTTACGGAAATATTTTCAAAATATCATTCATTTTCCTGAGAAAAATTCAAATGGATATCTAAAACACATAAAATACTTCTCTCTTAAAAGCAAATTGGAATATTTAATTTTATATCACTGCTATTCATATATTAGATGCAAAAGATATTCACCTCTTTTAACAATCATGTAGGGAGTAATTTTTTTTTTTCTGATGACAGGAAAGTCATGAACATTATCAACATGAGCCCTAGAATTTAGGATATTCCAAAATCTCCATGTGATTCCCTACAATTCCATTGTTTTCCAACCCATGAAACAAGAAAAGTAAGCAGCTGCAGCCCCACACAGAATGCTTTGTCTAGGGTCCCAAACTCTGTTAAATGGATTCTGAATTTATGGAATTCTATTAAATCTGTTATTGACATTATGATGAACAAAAACTGATAATTATTAAATTATACATTTTGCAAAGACTATCTACTAAAATTTAACTAATTAGCTACAAGTTTAAAAAATAAAATACAGAAAAGAATATTCTTACTGTGCAATCTCATAAAAATAAAAGATACGGACTGATTCACACTGACAGTAATCATGATTGCATGAATATTGCAAGCCATTTAGTAAATATAATTGAAAGCTACAGAATCCTTCTCTAATACACAGATGTAAAGAAAAGACTATTTAAACTTAAGATATGGTTAATCATTCTCCCAGGTTTCCCCCCCTCCAGAAGCTCTGATACTAATGCGATTAACAGCTCCTTGCTTTGAAAATTCAAATGTTACTGGATATTATTAGTTAACCATACATTTCTCAAATTTATTTATTCACTAAAAGCATTAGGAAATTCTTAATTATGTTGCATTTA